ATACCGTCCATGCCAGGAGCTGATTTTCTTTTAAGTTTACAGATTGATATCTTTAACTCCGATAATGAAATTGGAGCGTCCAAAATGGGAGAAACGTTTTCATGATCAAACTCAAGAATTGAATCAGAAATTGGATGACAAAAGTCATGCTCCAAAAAACGTTCCCAGTCTTGAAGAGGAATTTGACTATCGGGTTTTTTTATCATACTAAATCTGTTAACAATAGACCAAAACTGTCTAGAAGAACGTGTATTTTGCAGCTGCCTACTAATATTTGACCAATAATTCTTCTTTTTTATCCTACACAATGATCGAAAGGCAGTCCTATAACCACAATAATACATCAAATCGTCTTTACTACGGGATATCCGAAACCTCCTCAACATTTTATTCTTTAGTCTCTTCGCTGTTCTACAATCACTATCGAACCAAACTGAAGACGGTATTTTCGTCATTCCTAAGTATGAAAACATTCCACATTGTTCAGCTGATGTCTTAATCAAATCCAGAATTCCAGAGTACCTATCCTCCATTCCACCACTTAAGACAACGTTTGCATATCCAACCGAAACTGCCTCGGAATATAGGGTGGATCTATCCTCCTTCCAAGTTAATCGTTTTGTCCTATCAATCAAACTTAGTTGTCTATCCTCATCAGTATCAATCAAAATTCCAAAATTCAGCATACGATGGTCAGACATGTAGTCATCGGAAACAACAAAATCACGTAGTCTCGCCACCAAACCTTCGCTCAAAATCACTAAATCGATTACTGAAGCACCCAATCCAGATATATAAGTGAAGTCAGCTGGTGAGTCGAAAGGATAACGACCATTTATTATGTAAATGTTATAAGATTTCACCAGGTCAATAAGCAACTGTCCTCTTTTGTTACAAATTTTATCGTTTGACAGTCGAATATTCGAAATCACATTCCCACCACAAAAAGAGTCCATTGTCAAACCAATTCGTGCATTAAAATCACCCATCAACAAAAGATCGTAATCTGATGTATAATCAGAGATCAAATCTTCTAGTCTTGAAATTAATTGATCAAAAATAGGTATATGAAGGTAAACCAATATGATTATCATTTCACGTAATCCTCTACTTTGCCTCCGATTAAATTTCACTTTAACAACCATCATGTATTGCCGTGACAGAAGCAAATTAACTTCTCCCAGGTCACCACTTATGGCCAAAAGTAACCCACCCGATGGTCTACCTCTCCCCAAATTTTTGGTGGCCAATATCTCAAAAACTTTAAATTTACAGTTAATACTTTTAACTCTCGAACATAAAGGAACTGTAGACCAAGTCTCAGTCAGTCCCAAAATATCAGTTCTGGTAATATGTTCAACAAAACCATTATCATTCAGATTAGTCAGAAAGGCGCCCTGGGAGTTCCATGCTGAAACTTTCAATTCTACTGTACACTTCCCTGAATCGGAGAGAGAACATTTGGAGAATCTACTACACGGCTTTCCACTAAAAAATCAAGTTTCAATAATTCTCCTCTAGCCAAATCATAAGTATATCTCTCTGAGGCAACCTGTAAAACGTCGGCCATCAATCGAACTCGCCTGCCCTCCAATCTATAAGCACGTAAAAAAGGCAGAAGCTTTTTCCGTCTCAATCTTGAGCGCCAACATAAATCTTCAAAAATTTGTATATTTTTTAATACGTCATTGGCTTTTATCTTTCCAAGATTAGCAAAAATTAATTTTTTGTCTGCAAATGACTGCAATTCCACCAATACCATATCTGAACGTTTAAATTTCTCTATCTTAACCGTTGGAATAGGTCTTGATTCACCTATCAATGTATAAAACAGGTTCTGCACCTTCCTATTCAAATCAGAACCATCATCAATCAAACCTTTAATTAAGAAATTTTTCTTTCTCGCTTCATTCGACACCTTGTCCAAAGAATACAAAATCAAACTGTTTTCCCGTTGCAAATCATCTTTAATTTTAGAAATCTCTCCTAGTTTGGCTTCTAACTGAGTCAAACGCCGATCATGGTCATTATGTAAATTAGCCAACCAATCTATCTTCGCAACTACCTCATTTAACGTCGAAAAAAGCTTATCAAATCGGTCATCCAAATAAGAAATAACCTCCCCAGGAATAGACTTACTTGTGTCTGACTTTAAAGGGAAGAAATCTTCTAATCTCGCCGTTTTCAATGAAGGTTCACTCGGAGAACGATGTCGTTTAGCAGTGGATGCCGATGCCTGAATCTGTGAATGCGGCGGAGTGCGATCAACAGGACCGGGATTTAACTCTATCCCGCCCAGAAATAACAACAACTCGAACACCATAATCCAAAATTCGATATTCTCCATAATTTGGACTTCAAAGAAGCTCACGTAAAAGTTCACTAACACGCTCAACTGCAAGCAGCGCCCCCCATTATATAAAAATAAAGGATTAAAAAGTGAAATTGAAAATTATCGTCCCATAATAATAGTGTCGGTGTTGGCTAAAATTTTCGAGAAGATTTTCTACAAGAGATTTTCAACTTTTATAGACAGATTCCAGATTATTCACAGAAACCAATATGCTTATAAACGAGGATTTTCGATGTACGGTAGATGCTTTGTTGCATTTGAAACAATCAATAACCTCACAACTTGACGAATCAAAAATAGCAATATCAGTTTTTGTAGACCTTTCAAAGGCATTTGATAGCTTAAATCATGAACTTTTGTATAAAAAATTTCAAACTGTTGGTCTAAGAGGGGCTCCTCTAAGCTTGTTAAAATCATACTTGTCAAACAGAATTTACTTTGTAAAAATTGGACAGATTATCTCTAGCTCTTTCGGGCCAAATAAGGCCGTTCCTCAAGGTTCAATCTTGGGTCCACTGCTTTTCAATATATATATTAAGGATTTGTTTAACTATATATCAAAAGAAAAAATACGGATGTACGCTGACGATCTAGTGATAACTTATTCTCATACGAACGTTATAATTCTTTAGAATTTAAATCACATTTTAAAAACTTTAAATAGTTATATGGAAAACAATGGATTGGTAATTAACAAAAATAAAACTAAATTCCTCTGCTTTGCAAATAGGAATAAAAAATCAATCCACATCACCTAAAAATTGAAATAACTGATAATAGCATTTACTTTTTCTATGTTATAAAGTTTTTGGGAGTAACTTTTGATGACAATCTGCGCTGGAATAAACATATAGATGATGTTGCACTTTCCCTGACAAAGTATACTGGGATAAATAAGAAAATTCAAGCTTTTTTAAGTACATCACTCTTGAAACGGCTGTACCACACTTGCATTGAATCTAAAATAAGATATGGTATTGCTGTATGGAGAACCACATCTCTATACGCCGTTAATAAACTTCAGATGGCACAAAATCGTTACATTCATTCAATTTATAATTTAAACTTTATGGATCGGCATCTGAACTCTACTGCACCGAAAATATTGACAAGATTAGTGAAATTTACAAAAACAGATTCTGTTGGAGGGTTTCAAATATATAAAGGGCAAAAAGGAAAACAGCTTCCTCGGAATTGGTGTAGGAGAATATCCACGAATTATGAGTATCGTGTTGATCTGCGACATAGTCTCCCATTGTTAAACTAGAGATGGGGAGATCTGCACCGATCTTTCGATTAATCTTCTATTGGAATAGTCTGTGCAACGATTTACGTAGCATATCAAGTTATGAAATCTTCAAAAAGAATGTTAAAAAAGGAAATAACTTTAAGCCACAGTGATATTTGTTCTCAATTAATTTTTGGACTTAAGGTAGAAAGTAATTTTCTTTCTCAGCTCGTGTCCTGTTTTTGTTTTACTTATTTTTTTGTTCGTTTTGTTTATTTTAAGATGCTTGTAAAAGGCCAACCTGGCCACAGTGTCTTTTTGAGAAATAAATATCTAGTGTTATAGGGGGTTTACTGTAAATAATCAACTATAAACAATATTGTGAATGCGATTGTCATCATTCATGGAAAAAAGCCAAGAATCCATACACTTATTTCAAACAAGTGATCATTGCTAAGTATTTCATTAATGACTTTATAAATAACGAGAAAGTATTTTCTGCGGACGAATGAGATACAACGTGGTTTCTAATTGATGGACATAGGTTTAAACAAATAAACAGACGTGTCTTAGTTTGTTTACAGTAGGTGCCAACTTACGATAAAGACTATAGAGAATCCCATCGAGTATTCGAATACTCCATCTTTAGTCGGAATCACTTTGATTTGGATTAAACCTAGTAACAGAATTTCCACGTTGGCGAATTTGTCGTAAAAAACGTTCATCAAAATTTTTTAAAATATTAAAATATTTTAAACGGGAAATTACTAGACAATTTCAGTTTACACAGATTTCACTGTATTAAAGATAATGCACTGTACGGTACAATGTCCAACAAACCCACGTTTCTAATCCCTTTCTACATCATATAAATTCTTGCAAGCCTTGAACACCTAGATTATATAGCACAATGGAAATTGTATTGTTTCATTATCTACCCATAACAAAATTTTATCGAATTAAGCATAATTATAATTCTTTCGGTAATTCCAAGGGCTTAAAAGACTGCATATATACAAGTAAAACTGATTGTATTAAGGTTTTCCTTACTCCCTTAATCGAGTATATCTATATCTGTTGACTAAATATTTTAATATGACTATCATTAAATATATATAACACATTCATTAATTATAAAACTGTTAGAGTATCTACGAGTATGTTATCCAATTCATAAACGATCACAATGGAACTATTGACTTAATTAATATTCTATTTTACATCAACTCCATATTATACGAAAACTACATGAATTGAAGGGTTGGATCTGCAGGTGAAAATGTTTAATAATTCTATTTTCCCGATAAAAGTTGATACTTCTTTGAAAGGATGTATAAAATCGAGAAATAATAATCTAAAATCACATATCATTTGATCTGTTTTACAAGTTGATAAAAGATAATTTTTGCAAATTCAAGGTTTATATATTTTATTTCAAGATTAATTTGAAGCAAGAATTTTACATCAAAGAACGATTTTCAATACTTTGAAAAAGTTCGACTTGACCATTGCCGAAAAGAAATGATTACATCTGGAATACGTGGTATCTCGCACACTCGTCATAATTCGCGAAAAAAAAGGTTTCAAGAAAAGATTAAGAATATTAAGTTCTGTATTACTTAATTTCGAGTCTAGTCATCAAAAAGAAATAATGTTGGGATCCCACTACACTTATTTGTAATTTAAATAATGAATATTGTCTGCATAAAAATATTCGCCTGTTATTTACAGCTTTGATCTGCATCGTCTGTACAAGAGATTTAACTTAACAAAAACGGTTTTTCCTTGTCTTTGGTCATTTTTGCACAAATTCGATTTTTCGATTAAATAAAAAAGTTTGTAGTCGGTTAGCCAATGTAAAAATCTTAATTTTAAAGATGGGAGGTAAACAATTGGCCAAGAGTTTGAAATATCTGCAGGACTTACTTGCACGTTGGATGACAAAACCCGTTCCAAATGGATTCTCTAAACAATTGACAATGGCACAGACGAGTAAAATAAAAGGTCTTCAAATTAATTAATGATGCAGACAAAAAAGTTTTAACTATGTACATTTAATGATAATCCTTTCACGATGAAAAGTATAGAAAACAAAAGTTGCATATTAAATTTCAGTCATAAACAATAACAAATATACATTGCGTAAATGTCACTTTACGTCGAAATCAGTTCTTGTTCTTTCTTCCAAGTCGTCTTTTTCCGTCACTTATCGACGGACGAAACAATTCGGATAAAAATTAGACGTAGAAACCAAAGACAGTTTATTACAAAGTATGAAGAAAGTTCTCACATATGTTAAAAATTGACATGGTGGATTTTTTTGGGTTTTTTTTTTCTTTTATATAAACAATTTCCTACAAAAACTGTTCAGCATGATGAAGTGCACGATGAGTATGCCAATGAAGAAAAATGGAAGCTAACACCCATGGTCCGCAGATTTTTCTTTTCGTGAACAATTACGTTGCAATATTTCTCTGTAATAAAAATGCTTAGATTAATATTAATGTACACGTACCTGCCAAAAGTGATCAAACCAAATTATAAAATAGTTAAGTTTTATTATCCTAATTTTAACACTGTACACTTTGGTTTACAAACGGACTATTATTATTCTGGACTTATCAAACATTCAATAACAAGGATGAATCAATTAACTTAGAGAAACAGCTTCATTTTCCATTGTGCGTTTGGAATATCCTCAATTCCTCTTTAGCTGGCATTTACATAAAATTTACACTAAAGCCAGTCATCTGTACTGAATATCATCAATCATATTTTGTTAAAATGCTAACTTTTTACCAATCACTTCATCAAACCAAAAATTAATAAAACACAAGACTTGAACTAAAATCCATACATTTTAAGACATTTCAATCCAATCTATCTTGTTTTGGATGTGTGGTCGAAGATCTAATAGTTGAAAAGTTTTATAAAAAATGTTATGTTTCAAATATGATAAGTTATTATTTTTTGTGTTCTCAATTGCAAATAAAAAGAAATACTGCATTTTAAACATGTATATTAGTAAGATTAAATAAAACTAGGTCCAAGAAAAAACAATTAGAAGAAACAAAGCTTTTAACCATGTTTATGTTGGCTGGATGGAAATTTTTGCAAATAACTGAATGAATCCAGAGTTTTTTGCAAAAATGGTTGGAAGAAAATAAATGCAAAATGTCCACAGAAGTAATGCATGAACTGAAAATATATATATCGTTTCCAAGCATACCTAATATTTTTGACAAAATAAAGAAAATAATAAGATAATTTAAAATAAAATTAGTTCTAATGTTTAAGAATAATATTCAATTATTAAATCTTCCAAGAAAAAAAATCAAACCTTAATGAATACAGCAGCAGTAGTGTTGCCTTTAGTTGTAATTGTAGAGTTGAAAGTATACGTGGGAGAGACTGGTAGAGTACTAAAGGTACAGAATGCAAAGCTATCAGATCAATTACAAAAAATCAAAGTATGTCAGCAGTTAGTGAGCATTGTAATAGCACTGGGTGAAACAGCTCTGGATACTTTAAGAATATTAACATTGAGATGAAAATTTGCATAAAAGGCAGTTGTTTGAGCATACTGAAATTTTAAAATACACAGGAAAACAAAGGATAGATGAAATGAGTGATTAAGAACCTAATAACAACCAAGAGAGGGAGTCAGGTAGGCCATTTGCATAGAAGTGTGGTTCACATTTAAGGAACAGGGTGGTGACATGGAAGAACCATTTTGGATATGTGAAATTAAAAATGAAGGTATATGGATTGTAATCAAGATATATGAATGTTGGTATTCAGTACAGATGACCAGCTGAAGAGGACTCTAGGAGCTCTAAATGCATACTGGAAAATAAAACTGTTTCTCTAAGTTAATTCATTCATCCTTGTTATCAAATGTTTTATATCTGGAATAATAATAATAATAATAATCTGTTGTAGACCAAAAACTATTATAAAATAGTTGACATACAGGATAGCCCTAAAGTCAAAAAGCAGTTAAAACAATTGGGATGGTGGCTTGTTATTCTCTCATGATTCAGTTATTCCATTGGCTTAATTGATTTTTAGGATCACCCTATTTATTTACAGTATTCTAAAGTGAAAAGCCAAAAGACCTTCAAATTTTGATTTAAAAGTGGAAAACAGTATTTAGTTAACAGAAAAGAATTTCTTTTATTTAAAAAACTTTAATATACTCATAACTTTTAAAAATTGTATTTTTGATTACACAACTTGCACTAAGCAATCTACTTACTTTGCAACATAGAAAAAAAGATAACCCGTAGTTTCTCTCTGTTGAAAAACTTCATATTTTGTCTTTTTTTGTACTACATCATCATTAAAATGCCACCAACAGTCTTTTGCATTATCGTAGGCATCGCAGAGATAATGTCCACTGTGTGCTGTCTGTCCAATGTGACTAACGATACTAACTAATTGATATGAATGTGGTAAATGGCCACTCTGAAAATAAAGCAGTAAATATAATTTGAAATGTTATTACAATTATTGTAAAGTACTTTTCACTATATTAAAAATAAATCATTTGAGTTGCTGCTATTGCTATTAAGACAACATTTTACATTTTATTATAAAAAATATTTAATACCTAACAATTCAATTTTATATTTAAATAAGGCCAACAAGAAACCTAATGAAAAATAATAAACATCAGCCAATTTTTAAATATAGGGATTTTAATTGTTGAAGCTGAAAAAAGTTTAGTAATAAAAAATTGAATTTATAGCATATTCAAAATAATATAGAATGTGCATTTACTTAGTTCAAGAACAATTTATAAAACAAAAAAGTTTTTGGCAGAAATGATTCAATTTAGTAAATGTCTTCATTCAAAATAACTTTCCTGATCTATACAAATTTTTGCATGCTCTGGTAATTTACATATCTTTTTTGAATGCTGTGTAGTTACCTCCTTACAGCCTCTTGGTTTTCTGAAATTGTCTCCCTTTAAAAAAAAATTTAATTTGGGGAACAGGAGTCTCCAGCAGTGACAAGCCCAAAATGACCATTTCCAGTTAATTAATGGATGTACAATATACTTCCATTAAAGCTTTTATATCAATAGATTGTGTGTGAAGTGCTGGGCAGTGGAGAGATGAGTATAGTATAAAAACTTACTGTTTTATTATTCTCTGGATGGAGATATTTCCAAAGTTTATCACCATCAAGTGCTGATCAGTATAGGAGCCAATGAAATTACTACCTAAACAATATCATTTGAATATAATAGTTAAATTTTTAAAAATTTTAATGCAAATTAATTTTAATGTATTCTTCTAGAAAAAGTGATATAATCCAGTGTGTGTGAAGACATGGTTATATTACTTCCAATCCTAAACAATATAATTTGTTTGTACATTTTCTGAAGAAAATTACTGGGTTTATAACATATTTTTTTAAGATAAATTAAGTTTTCAAACTTTCATAAAAATTAAAATGTATAAATTTACTCTAATCATCTAAGCATAATCTAATTTAATGTTTATGAATATATACATTGTGTTGTACTGATATTGTGTAGACAGTTCTTTTTGTCAGACTGAATGTGATGATACCACTCATGTCAATCCATGAAAAACTGACAATTCTTTTTTTTTTTCAACAAATGAAGTTTTGAACTAATTCGGTAGATCATTTTGAAAATAAAAATGGAAACAAATTTTTCTGAAAGTAAAATTAAAATACTTTTAAGGACTATACAAACCCTTTCAAAATAAACATTTTAAGTACAGTATATAATGGAAAGTAAAGAATGAAACTGTTTATAATACACATATGCCCCAGAAGATATACTTGAAGATAGTTACTCAATAGTCATAATCAAAGTATCATTGTGCAATTGAAGGTCTTAAATCAGTGATTTTCAACCAGTGAGCAGTGAAAATTTTTGAAGGTTATTAAATAAATTATTTTTGAAAGAAGCCCAAAGAACAGTAAGTGTACATCTCAAAATTAAAACCTCTTTAAATTGATTATAAGAGTTTTTCATTGTTATAATAAACGAACATATACATAATATAGTAAAAAATATATATATTTATAAGCAAAATTATATGTGCATAACATTGGTTATTTCATTTAAAATGAAATTTTCTTTAAATCAAAAACATATCTATAATTGTCCATATTTAGTTCAAATTATTTTAACTTAGAAATAGCAGGACATTGAGCAGATTGCTAAAGGCAATTATCATGCCACTTTTAAATGCAAATCAAGACTTAACATTAATTGCTTTTATTTAAATTAACAATTTCAATTTACATAACTATTGTTGTAACCTGCTGCTATTTTTTATTTAATTCACAATAAATATAGATAAAAAGAATTAGGTTAAGTGGCAAGTAATATGGGGATAGAATGTTTACAATCACAACTTTTAAAACATGTAACTTTTTCTGCATAAATTTAATTACAGGTTTAAGTGCACTATGAGATTAAAAAAAAAAAAANTATAATTAAAAGTAAAATTTTTAAGATATCACAATGGAGATAGTAAAAAGTATTATTAAGAAATTTCTAAGGCTTATTACATATTCCAAATACTAATAATTATCTAAAACATTATTTAATTCACAATAAATATAGATAAAAAGAATTAGGTTAAGTGACAAGTAATATGGGGATAGAATGTTTACAATCACAACTTTTAAAACATGTAACTTTTTCTGCATAAATTTAATTACAGGTTTAAGTGCGCTATGAGATTAAAAAAAAAAAAAAAATGAAAAACACTGTCTTAAATACTTGCTTCTACCAATCACAACTTATTACAAATTCTTAACAAGTTGCATTAAAATGTAAGAGAAAGATATTTGTGATGTTATAAGTGCATAAAAAAACCTTTGGAAAAATCATTAACACAATATCTTTATAAGTTACACTCTTGATATGAGTCTACAGCATTCATTGATCAATATAGTCAGACATACAATATACCATGAGCCACACTGTTATAGGATGTCAAGATAGCACATTCTCTAATATTTAAACACTACAATGTACATTTTGCTGAATCATCTTTTTAACATGTTTTAATACAGTGAGTAATTATTACTTTAAATACTCAAATTAGAAAAATATTATAATAATTCTTAATTGGAAAATAGTATTATTGTAACCTAAATTAATATAATTGACACTTACTTCAAAATTTTCTTCTATCATTTTCTTTTCTTCCTCATTTCTGTGTATCCAGAATTCGCCACTATCTTCAGAATTATGATTTTCTTCAGAACTCCATTCTGAAACCTCTAAAAGAATAAAATATATATTTTTAAAAATTACTTTTGAAAATAAAAAATATAGATTAATGTAACATGTATCAAAAACAAGATCTTAATTTCATTCAAGACAATTACCAGTTAAGAAAACCTCAAACTCAAATATTCTGAACTCATTAAAGAATACACAATTAAAAAAAATTACATAACTAATCAACAAACAATAAAATCCAAAAGTGTAATTTAAAAAAAATTGTATAAATGTGGTCAATAATCAAAATCAAACAACATATGACAACAAAATTGCTATTTAAATATTAAAAAAAAATTGAATCTTATTTAGTAACTACATTAATTATACCTAACTTTGGTAAATGTTAAGTAACCAACAATGAAATACTCTGGCAAGCTTAGAGTAGGCTAGTTGCATGGACCAGAAGTATAGTATGTATTTTTTCCCCCCTTATATAAACTAAAATAGAATCAGATCAAAGACATAATAATCAAGTATCTGCCCAAACAGATTCAAAAGAATTATTAACATAGATTTAGCAAATTCTGTCAAATGTTTTGCATATAAAATGTCCTTTTAATGTTTCAATATATGCATAACAAGATTTCTAGATGTGCTGATACAAGGTGAAATCATTGAAAGCTACATAGATGAACTTTGTAAACACCACATTTCTCCAACATAGATATCAGGTCCTCATTATTAGTAATTTACCTAAATAGAGATGAATGGAGTTGAATGAGTAAAAACTCAATATCCAGCTTTCAACAATGCTAAAAGAATGTGAATTCAGCAAAGATTAAACTAAAAGATATTAAATAAACTGATCAAAGAAGAGATAGCTGCATTTTTATAGGAGGAAAATTAAAATGAACTTGATGGGATGATGAAAGGAAACATGTTAAGTTTATGATGTACAGTACACTAAAGTTTAAACCAAAAGTTGTTCTTCCAATGTTTAGGAAAACAATAGAACTATAGTCAAACTTCTATTTAACAAAGTCACTAAAGCCTGAAAAAAATTTGCTATAGAAAAATTTCTTTATACAGAAATAATACTTTTTAGTAAATAGAGTATTATTTTAACATAATTTTTTCGTTATTTTACATAATTTAATTAACAAACATAATATACAGTAATAATGTAAAATAAATGAGATTTTAATTTTAAATAAGTTTACATTTGTATGTTAAACTACAAGTTAGTTTATTACAAATTTTTTATGAAAATGTAGTTAAACAGAATAATAAATGTTCTCTCTTTGTAATTTGCTTTCCACTTATTATATTGATGTAGATGAAGTATTAACTCCTTAGTCTCCATTGACGTATATATACGTCAAGCCAACATAGCCTTACGAAAAACGTGGTCCTTATGGCCATTTTTGAAAATTTTTTTTTTTGAATTTTTGGAATGTTTTTTAGGTCCCCAAATTTTTTCAAAATTTTTTGCCTGCACGAAAAATTTTTATCGCGATTTTAATTAGCCTTTAATAAGGCTTGATTAAGGCTCAGTTGTTTTTTAATGGGAGTTTTTTATCAAATTTATTTCATGGTTCCTAAGTTGTAGTGCACGGATATTCATTCGGTAAAGTTATTTAAAGCTAGTTTCTGATGTCAAAAACGACCTCCAATGGTTTTTTAATTTTTTTAATTGTTATATATTTTTTATATAAAATTAATTAAGTAGGGGGGGTCGGAAATCGCAATAAAACTTTTAATTTTTTAAAAATATTTAAAAATTTACGTGTCGGTCATATTCACCCTACTTTAAACCCTTGACCTCCCGCGGTGTACATGGGAATGTCCCGGGAAATCGGACTCCAGCTGTGTTCAAGGTCACCCAGCTGTGTAAACAATGACTCATCCGTGTTAAATTTCACAGAAAGGCGAAACAAAGGAAAATAAAATTTGAAGCTTTTTCTTCAAAATTAACGCATTTCTTTCGTTTTTTTTTCAGTTTTAAGTATTTTTAATGTATTTTAATATTAATCTTATATCAATTTAATTAATGATCGGGAATGAAGGGGTTAAAAATTGCTTCATCTACATTGATGTAAATACAGATTTCCAGCATGTTTTGCAGGAGGTCTTGCATCATCAGCTAATTTTAAAATTGGTTCGTGATTTTTTTCATTATGGTTGATAAACTTTCTGTTCTGAGCCTTTAACAACTTCCCACAATACATTAATTTTTTTTTAGTAATACTAAAACACCTTTGCTTCACATTTTTGTAATACAGTATAGAACCATCCACTCTCAAACCTGAAATCAGGGCAGTCTATATAATGAATATTGATATTGGTGACCTTTTTTTATTGTATACAGTACAGTATTTAACCAAGAAAGCAGTCTTACTTGTGCAGATGGTTGAAATGAGTCATACCTCAATTGTTTTACCGTGTAGAATGCTATATAAAGTTCAAAGGAACTTTCCTAAATTTGTCTACCAGAATTCTCAAAAACATTAAAACTGAAAGTGAAATGAAACTTTTCAATTTTAATGTTTCTTTTAATTTTAATTTAAAAAAAAATTATTACTAATATCAATATTCATTGTACAGACTGCCCTGATTTTATGATGTGTTCCCAGAGGATGTGGCATAAAGGAAATTATCACAAAATTAACCCATTGTAATGTATTGTTTTATGAAGTAAATTTGGATTACTGAAACTTTTACATTCATCCAGTAGGCCTTTGGGAGTGATTGCTTCTCCAAATCACAAGTCTTTCAATGGCACAAGTCATTCAAGGATGGTCAAGAGGAGGTCACTGATGAACCCCTCAGTGGACATTCATCAACCTCCCAAATTGACAAAAATGTGACGTGTGTCCGTACGTTTCTATATTCAACAGTTGACTCAACGGTGAGAGAACAACGTTTCTAAATGGACCGTTGAGTTCTCCGTTGAGACTAGTGACGTCAGCGCTGTTTCACCGTTGAGCTCAACGGTCTCAACGACCTGAAAGACCGTTGAGTAGTCAACAAACTAACATGGCGGCTTCCACGAAAAAGTAAATTTCGCTTATAGAAACTATCCATTCGCTGCTGTGGATGCTGTAATAGCGAACAGATTAATGAACAATCTGTATATGATAAAACACGTGATTGCACGATTATGTTGGATAATTTGGTCAATATTGAAATATAAAGATTTTTTCATTTGTCCAAAATTGATTACGACTGATATTTGGCCCGCTAAGTCTTCCTAATGATATAAATATTCAAGAAATTAATTAAAATTATTAATTAAAAAAAGACCCAGTATACAAAAAAATGATACAGATACGGGTTCATTTGAATAAAAGGATTTATTCGAATAATGGTTAAGCGAGTTACTTTAATTATTTAGCAAAACAGTCACAATCGCCACCTTCTCGTTACTTAAGTCAGCCATCTTGAAAAGCGACCTCTCAACGAAAGCGTTTCTTTTTTCTGCAAAACGTGACGTCAGATCGTTCAACGGAGGGACTCAACGGAAAATTCACTGTTGAGTCAACCGTTGAATATAGAAACGTATGGTTAGTGTGTGTGTGTGATTGTTTAAACTCTGATCGACGGTTGAGCCTTCAATTGATAGCAGACAATCTAAACATGATGAAAACAACTGTTTATCGCATTGTGTCTAAAGATTTAAACACGAAAAAGGTGTGCGACAAACTGATCCCAAAAGTGTTGACCAACAAACAAAAGGACAAGCGCGTGCTCTGGTGTCAAGAACTCTTGGAAATGTGTGAAAATGATTCTAATTCTTTAAACACAGTTATCACTGATGATGAGTCATGGATTTTTGAGTATGACCCTGAGACAAAAAGGCAGAGTTTGGTGTGGCACACTCCAGTGTCACCCTGCCCCAATAAGGCATGCACGAGCAAGTCCAGGATCATTGTCTTCTTTGATGACAGAGGCATTATTCACTACAAGTTCGTACCTGCTGGGACCACTGTGAATGCAGTTTTCTACTTGGAAGTGCTCAAAAGACTGAAAAGGAGGGTTGCGTGCTGCTGAAGCGACATAAGGAGGCATGGAAATTTTATCACAACAACGTGCAAAGCCACAGTGCCTTCGTTGTCAATGATTTCATAGCCAGGACTCGCATCCCATTGGTACAATATTGGACAGTTATCAATCTTAAATATTAATTAGTTAATTTATTATTATTATAGTAATTTAGGATTTTAATGTTAAAAAAATTTTTAATTACAGTAGAGCCTCAATTATCCGGATTGTTCAAAATAAAAATTTTACGAATTTGCTGATTTGCACCTGCGAATTATAATACTGTTTATGTACATGATGGAATGCATAACTTTTTTTGTTTCAACAACGTCTCACCCACTGATTGTAAACTCTTAAATATATTTTATGTTGTAATAAAAATATAACTTGACATACGTATTTATAAATAATTTATATTCAAATTACATCATTTCTATGACCAAGGGCAGCATAAGGCATGGGCAACGTGGGCCACCGCCTGTGTCTCGCGGTCCGAAGGGCCTTGCGTTTCGAAGGTTTATGCATTATTTAAAAGCTGTGAACACGACGAAAAAATTTTACTCATCATAAAATGATAAATAGTTTGTCAAATTTTTATTCATAAAAATGCAGTGTCTACTGCTTTTTATTTTATAAAATCTGTCTTCTTGCGCCTTTTAAACAATAGGTAGTCTGTTAGCGTTGGTCAGTAGTAGTCCAAATTCAATACGAACGTTTGTTTCTTGAAAATTTGATCACAATTTAAATACAGTATTTATTTTTAATATTACCGATATGTCATCGAGAAGAAAACGTGTTGTATTATCATTAAAAAGGCAAATTAAAGTATTTGTTTCGATTATCTGAATTTTTCCTTATCTGGACTACCTTCATCCCCAATTAGTCCGGATAATCGAGGTTCTACTGTATATTCTTGTTAATTCCATTTTGAATTTGCAAAGAAATGTTTGATGTAAATTGTTTTTATTGAAAGTGCTTCCACTTTATTTAATAAATCTCAAAAATTACAAATTATGTCAAAACGTTTCATAGCTTGTTTAGTGAGTCATGATACTTATTTCTTAAATTCTTACCTTCTATGCTATTTTGTAATGCTCTTTGTAATTCCAATTCTTCTTGACTTTCAGCTTCCTATACAAACATATTTTTATATTACAATCTACATTATGTAACATTTCAAAGTTAAATTTAGTTTTTAAAAGTAGAGTATGTTAATTTAGTATTCATATTACATACTTTAATATGACTGTAAAATTACTTACTTGTAAACTTTGCTTTACTGCATTTTGCATATCTTTTCCTTCAAAATCTGGCTCTACTTCAGAATATAAAGTAATTGCTTTGGAAGAATCATGCAAATGACCATTGGGCAAATGATTTTCTTTTTCTTCTTCTAAAAAAATTACGATTAAATAAATAAATATTTTAAAACTAGAAGTTAATTTAACATTTAAAAAATTATAATGACATTACGTTGGAAATTTTTCAGAAATTTGTTAAACTTTAATTTTCATTATTTTTGGTCATTTTATTCCTGCCGTTTTGTAATTAAGTTCAGATTAATCTTAAATAGCACTTCAATATTTATATTTGTTAATTTTATATTTTTACATTAATTTAAATTTAAAACTGTTATTTCATTTTGTAATATTTGGTGTTCCATTCCAAGAATTTTCTTTAACTGAAGCTAGCCTAAAAGGCCATAAAAAAATGTTTTTTCCATATAATATTTGGATACACAAAAAAAGTGCACAAATTTCTAATTTTGCAAAATTACCTCCTATAGACGGAATATTGGCCTCATCTTCTCGACCTCCACACAAACCAACCTGTTGAACTCTAGAGGTTGTCATTCTTCTAACATCTCCATACTAAAATATAATTGAAAAATATTGTTGTAACACAAGAAATATTTCTTTCATTTTTAAAGACAAAATATTTTAATGAAATTTATTAATATAACTGGATATATATTACATTAGTTAGTTATCAATTTTATAAAATAAAAATGCTATTAATTATAGTAAAATTTAAACTGTTCTGAAAGTTGTTTTAACAGAGTTAAAGAATACCAAGTACAAAGGTAGTCTTTCAACTCAATTTCTGAAATACACTTTTTTAATCAAAGAATTCTGAAATAAAAGACTTATGTATGAAATACTCCATTCTTCCTTCTTTTCATTAACTATATTTATGAAAAATTTTTTAAGCTATTTAGCTAAACATCTTATTGATGGAACAAATATTTTCAGTTTGTTAATTACTTGCTTAAATTCACAAATCTTAATCACAATTTCCATACTTAAGGAAGGCAATTAACTTTATTATTTAAACAATATTAATTAGTAATCGCTCAATTTCAAAGTTAGAAAAATCTTTCCTGTCACAAATAATTTATTTTTGTTATTCTAAATTCAGAATTTCTTAGCCATCAGTTTAAAATTGACTAATATTAAACAAATCAATGATTACAAAAATATAGTTTATATTAGGAATACAAACTATTATAAACTATATTTTTATCAATTCCTTCTTGATAATCTCAGATTAGTAAATTTTCAAATAAAGTTTGAAAACAGAAATTGAATATTGAAGATTTAAAATTTAAAAAAAAAAGGGTTTAGTTTTAAGATTATTTTTATGTTAAAATTATCTAAAACATGATTAAAAGTTACAGTGAACTTATAAAAAAACTTCCCATTCATGAAAATTTAAAGAGTCAAGGAATGAATTATCAGGATATACAAAAATATTATACGTACAAATGAATTTTCACTTAGGGAAATGTTCTCTACATTGTCAGCAATTACTGTGGAAATGTTAACTGATAATTCCACCTCCTTGTGGGCATTGGATTTCTTTAAAAAAATTAAATAAATTAAAGATTTACAGCTATGTAATCTTAAAGTTATAAATAAAAAGTAATATTTAATGATATATTCATACTTAATTAATAGCATCATTTAAATATATTTGAAAATAGTTCCATTCAAAAATGTTTAATTTATAACTTAAAGGTTTAAATAGTACTTTTAATATAATTACAGAAAAAAAAAAGCAATTTTCCAACTTAATTGCATACTTAGAAGCATGCAAAGATAAACCCCTTTTTTAAACTCTTTCTTCCCTATGGGTTCTAGAAGACTTTTTTTTTTGTAAGCCCATTATGGGCTTGGCAAGGCCACAATGCAAATGGTCAGTGATGGAGCCCAATATAGCAGGATGGACCAAAAAATTGCAAAGATTTTTTTTGACCTGTCTTGATTTGATGCCAGGTCCCCATAGCAGTAGGCTGCCACCCTAACCACTTGGCCAACAAAGGCACTAGGTGACCTTTTGCCTGTGTTGAGGTAAGAACAATAAATACAATATATTTTTTAATTAATAGTTGCACTGTAAAACCATTATGCTTTTATTCCTTATTTTCTTCCTCCAAATTTTAACAGTTTGGAGCCTCTGTGAGGCACATCCAATGCATTCCAATTCATACAAAGTAAATGTAAACTGTTTTGGAACAAACAGTATTTTATAAAAGTTACTAAAGTATTGTTTTAAAATTCTAAAATACACTTAAATTGTATTCTAGCAGCATTCTAAGTTTTGTGTAATTAACAATTAATTATGACACTTTAATAAATAAAATAATAAAATGCAATTAAGAAAAATTCTATTCTAAAAAATGTTATCATTGCTGCTCACACTATAATTATAACATTAAATAAGTTTAATCAAACTCAGGTCAATTTAAATTAATATTTTTTAATATATTTCTGTGTATTACACTGATTATTATGATCCTAATTGAATTCCATTCAATTATTTTAAACTTCAATATCAAGGTACTTTTGTATTTTTTATTTAATAAATCCAGAAGCAACCATTCAACTTAAAATATAGTTCAGTTTTCTGGAAATCATTATACATATTTCTAACATAGTAATATTTTACATTATAAATACTTCGAAAATTTTCCTAAAATTTAATGGCAATGATTTCAATCAATTACAAATAATTAGTATGCTAAGTTTCAAAGAATATACAAAATTTGCTATTGAGAAAAAAATCATACAGGAACACTCTTTTTGATGGAAATAGTAGATTCATTTTCTATGATTTACAATGAATATGCATTTCAGACTATGCCTCTCTTCAGTCCTTATTTTATTATGTATATTGGTAAAACTATATAAGAAATTACAGAATGTATTTAATAATTATTTATTCCAGTTGTCACTGTAATTATTTTTAGTAGGTATTTATTATTATTTTTTAATTTTTGTGAGTTACACATATGTTAAATACTGTATAAATAATTATTAAATACATTCTGTAATTTCTTATATAGTTTTACCAATATACATAATAAAATAAGGACTGAAGAGAAGCATAGTCTGAAATGCATATCCATTGTAAATCATAGAAAATAAATCTACTTTTTCCATCAAAAGGAGTGTTCCTGTATGATTTATTTTCAATAGTAACTTTAAGTTCCAAAGAACATACAACTAATTCAGAGAACAGCAAGCAATCAAGTACTACAAATAATTAAATTTCATTAAGTAATTATGCACAACTTGATTTTCTTGTTTAATATGTGACACAAATTTTAGTCTCTTGTCATTCTGAAAACAATTTTTATGTTTAATAAGCAAAGTATTTTTGATGAAAAATTGAATAAAACAATATATGTTTGAATTTTGTTTGAAAAAAAATTGTATTTTAAAAAAAAGAATATTTTATAATGCAACAATTGCATAAATATTCATGACTTAATGTCAAATAAACCCAATTATGTATAATTAAAGTGCTTGTATTTTATTGAATCATCAAAAAATTTATTTTTCAAATTAAATATCAAAAACTTACATTTGAATTTGAATCATTCAATAATAACTGAGCATTCCCCGACTGTTTCAGAATACTGTCTGCATAAAATTCCTTCTCGGACTTAATTGATACTTCCAAATTATTTTCATTGCGATGGAAACTGTAGAGAAAAAAAGTACATTCATATAATTAAAAGTAAAATTTTTAAGATATCACAATGGAGATAGTAAAAAGTATTATTAAGAAATTTCTAAGGCTTATTACATATTCCAAATACTAATGGAATAGTCATCATTTAAATTACAAATAAATATCAGAAAAGCTTTCTTTTACTTTGTCATGATGTAATCTTAATTTCATATAAAAAATTCTGATTACATTTAATTCTTAAAATGTTAATCACTACTATTAAGTTCACTGAATTTATTAAATTCAATATACCTATCAATTTAATTTTCCTCATTTCCAGATCAAATACAACTAATGAATTAATAATTTACTTCATTGTAGGTAAATTTCCTATTTTAAATGTAATTAAAATATAAAAACAGTTTCCTCTTTCTAAAAAGTCAATACTTACTTGCATAGAGGACGGACTGATAATGTGTTTTCATTAGTGTGGTCATATAAACTCAAGTATGTAGGAATGGTGACTGGTTGAGCAACTTTTACAGATTGCTGTACATAACTGTAGCGTTTCAAATGAAGGATTAATATCCTAAAAAGACATTAAGATTATTATTTATAAAATCCATAAAATTTCATTCAGAATCAAATTTATCCTTCATTACACAATAATCAATTTGGTATAAATAAGTAATTTTCTCATCCTGACAAGAGCTATCTTGTAAATTTTGTAATTAATTATTTTTGTATTACTAATGAATTTTTCTGATTTATTTTTATATTTGATTTATTTATTATAAAAACTTTTTTATACTGTCATCATTATGAAGTATTAAACTCAATTTAAAATAAATTAAAGACTTCAGCATTTATTCTTAAACAGGTTCAGCCATATTCACAATGGAGTAGCCAAATGGTAAAGGACAGAGTCCAACATATTGGCAATGGACATAAAGCATCCCCACATGAAAAATTTCTTAGGTTTTTTTATCTGCCTGGATCAATCCTACCCAATGTAGTAGGTTGATGTCTTGGCCACCAGGCCAGTGATTTAAATATACCATGTGTTTATACAGATACGAGGGGGACTCAAAAAAACCGAACTGAGAGCGCGCTGCCATTCGTAGACATAGTAGAGAGTTCTCCCGTTACATTAGGTTAGTAGAAACCTTCATGAAACAGCTGTCCAAATGGTGTCAGTTTGTAGGTTTACATTTGAGCATAGTGTTGTGTCTCTCTTACTGTTATTTTGTTCCACCTGCAAAATTCTGGGAGTCTTTCAACATCTTGAAACGATGAAAACATTGAAAAAATCTGCCAAAAAAGTGTTAAGATGTCTGCGAGGATTGTGCAAAGGAAACGCCTGGAACTTTGGCGATCAGGTGACTGGTTCCTTCATCATGACAACGCCCCCCCACACACGGCCTTACGAGTGACTCACTATTTGGCCTCTCGGGGATGGCCTGTCATTCCCTATCCTCTGTATTCACCAGACGTAGCCCTGTGCAACTTTTCTCTGTTTCCGAGAATGAAGAAAAATCTAAAAGGGAAGCGTTTTGATGATGTGGAGGTGGTAAAAACAGCTTCACTAAGGGCACTGAACAATATCAAGGTTGAAGAGTTCCAGAGATGCTTCAAACAGTGGGAAAAAAGACTTCAGAAGTGCATTGCATCTAATGGAGGGTACTTTGAAGGTGACTGAAGAAATTTTGTAAAAAAGTTAATAAATAAGGTTTTTATACAAAAAATCTGGTTATTTTTGGATCCCCCCACGTATATAGTAAAGTCTTGTTTTATATGAAAGTTGCTTGTCAACAGGTATCACATAAAAGAAAATTCTGCATAAATTTATTCTTCTAAGTAGTCTCAAATGATTGTCTAGACCAGGAAATAAAATGTATGGCTCATGAGCTAAATATGGCTCTGAAGCATATTTATCTTTCATTTTCACTGACATATTTTATCAACAACAATTGAACTAGTTCAAAACAAATATTTGAAAACTCAGAATAAATAGAACTTGCAGGAAATAATCTTTATAACAACATACTTTTAATAAGGAAGTTGGTTAAATTTTTATAAATATCTTGAGAAGAGAATTTTGACAGTCTTAATTAATTAATTAACTCTTCCTTGACCGTTTGCTACACTCCCATGTTTACATATGTTGTAAAACAACCGAGGGCAATATAGGTCAGTCAAGTGATATTATTTTAAAAATTCATCAAAAATCAAATTATCATTATATTCATATGAAAAAAAATCATGTGCATTTATTAATATCTTTAGTTTTAAATACCATATTTTTCAATACATTTTATTAGAAAAAACAATATATATCTGAGCTGACATTTAAACTTCATAATTTGTAACTTTTTGTCAAAATTAACATTGTCTAGTTATCTAGATTTTTGCTGGCACCAAGCCAGAAAGACCTAGAATATTGTTTTGTACAACTCCATATAACAATTATGCATGTATGTTTATTTGTTGTGAAATTATTGCACATTATATCAAACATTTGTTTGAAATTAAAACTTTATTCTGCTACCAACTAATATACTTTATTCACTTCATATCAAACAAGAATATAAATTTTTGTAATAAAAATATGATTACCAGTAGTAATATTTATTCGAAATCAAAACTTTATTCTGCTATCAACTAATATACTTTATTCACTTCATATTGAACAAGAATATAAATTTTTGTAATAAAAATATGATTACCAGTAGTAATAGATGTAACATTTGCTGATATTTTAGATTTAAAAAAAATTAAAAAAATATATAAAATATCAGAACTGAAGGTCACAACTTGAATATTTATAACACGTTGACTTATGATAGCTCAGTGGTTCCCAATTAGTGGTACACGTACCCCTGGGGGTATGCGAAATTGCATAAAGGGGTACGCGCGGCAATCTAAAATCGGTCTATTTAAAATTTAAATGCATGAGATGAAGCAATTAAAAAAATAATGGGGGACCATCAAAAATTCGGCAATTTACAACACGATGTGGAATGCACAAATTCATTTATTTATAATTAAAAATATTCTCGAAATTTCATTTTAAAAAATGCATTTGTGACAATACCTAAATTCTTACGCAAGAAACAAAAATTGTACAATTATCATTATCATCATGTCAGTGAAACAGCAATAAAATATTTACTACCATGTTGTGCAACATACCTCTGCGAGAGCGGATTTTCGGCCATGACAAACATGAAAACTAAATATCGTCAGTGACGATGTTTAGTTTTCATGTGTGTTAAATTACTGTCGATTCCTATGGAAATTTCATTTTAATGAACAATAATTTGAAATAATTCAATTTTGTGTCAGGCTGGCCTCTACTAGGCCCCCCATAACAAAATTCTGGCTATGCCAATGATCGTTACCGATTTCGACTCGAAGATGACTCGAGACCAAAGCTGACCAAAAAGCAACCAGATTTTACAAAGTTGTGCAAAGAAAATTGTGCACATTTGTCGCATTAAAAGTAAATAACTTTGTTATGTTCATTATTATTAGAATTGTATTTTAAAGGTAATAAATGTAAAAAAAAAAACTTATTCTATTTATCACTCGCTGTCTACCCACAGCTTCGCCCACATTATATCGAATTTTCACGTGGGAGTAAGATATTTTCTCATAGTAAAATGTAGCCTATGTCCATCTTCAATGTGTAAGCTATTTCTGTGCCAAATTTTATTAAAACCTGTTTGGCGGTTTAGACTTGAAAAGGTAACAGACAGACAGCAGAATTACCTTCGAATTTATAATATTAGTATGGATTAATACGAATTTCTGCTATAAGGGGTACGTGAGTTTGAGCTCTTTCTTGAAGTGGTACGCAGGAAAAATTAATTGGGAACCACTGTGATAGCTGAATAAACTTATAGTGCTGACATCTGTTGTTGATAAATTTTATAAAAATCGATTTTTAACAGGGTATCAATAAATCAGTACCCTGGCCTTTTTGCTTAACAATTGGGGTAACGACAGATTGGTACCCCGGTCAAGAGTTAAAAGGTTTGCATGGGGATATTTCTTATTTATGTTGGTATGTGCTTTTGCAAACAATTTTTTTTCAAACCAAATATCAAACATTACTGTGATATACAATAACTAGCTAAGGGAGATGTTAATATTGGGTGTCATAAAATTTATCCCCAATTTTGATGGCATTCTTTTAAAAAAGCAGTTGCAAATTTTACATTGAATCAATAAAATATAAATAACATTACATGCCAAAAAGTCTTAGAAATAAGTAAGCCACACAACTGTATCAACATTATAGAAAAAGATTTAATTCACAAGTACTTTCAACAGTATATAACTGTCCACTTCAAGCAATATCATTCAGAGAACAGAACATTTGAATTCAAGAAATAGATGATGAACAGCAACTAACATTTTGTCAAAAAGCATGCATCTTTCACATGCATGGAATTTAAATACATCTGGGAAGAAAATAATAATGTTCACAACAGTGAGAAGCATTCAGTAGTTCTCCATATTCAGAATATAGAAACTTGCAGCAACTCAGTTTGCTAACTTAAGAATCAGGTTTGATACTTTGTTATATGCAGATTGATATGAAACACATATCAATCTGCATATAACAATCTTGCATAAAACAAAACCCTACTAATAAATCTTACTAAGCACTATCTTAAGAAATATCAAAGTCAATCTGAATTTGCTAACTGGAATGCTTTCGGTTGATCGGTATTCGGATAATTGATGCTCTACTGGAATTTCCTAACTAACTACAAAGGCAGATGGATATAGAAAGTGTAGATGACCAACCCATCCTGATAGATTCAGATGGCAATCAGATATTGCTAGACGGGACTCTTCCTTCCCATACATTCTAACAACTCAGTTTAACCATCATCACTAACATCACCACCTTTCAGCTTTCAAGTTGTTCACTATCTTCTCAATTCTGGTAATTCACTATCTTCTCAATTTATAATATCATTAATACTTTTACTGTATGTTAGTTATTTTAGATTTTGTGTTTTTGGTAGGATCTGATAGATTAATTTTGGGTCTGGGAACCAGTGCCATGAATTGTTTTTCATGTGCATGTGCAAATTTTATTTTTGTTATAAAAACAAATACAATAGAATAGTCAGTTATTTTTTTTTAACTTTAACTTAAAAGGTTACAAAATATGTCCCACAACAGCAAAATTTAAATTTGAAAATATAATACCAATCATTTCTATATCCTATTTTACAGCCCCAGCACTATAAAATAAGACCATTGCATAAGCACCATTGCACCTACTATGGTACTGAAAACACTTTTTCCCATAAAAATTAATTGTTACGTAACTGCTTCTACACTATATGTCATTTCAGCTTACTAATGGTTTCACACAAGCACTACTTTGAGATAGAATAAACCTGTATCTCACCTTGGTAATGTTGCAAATGTTTCTACACAGCGTGAATCCATGTGCTGGCACTTTTCACATTTGAATTCCAAATTCTGAGGCAAAAAATATATATCTAATGAATCTTGTAGGCTACCATTGACATCTGCATTTCTGTAAAAAAATTTATGTCAATTTCATAACTAACAATTTAAAACTTTAAGCAAAGTAAACTTACTGCAATTTAGGCACATCTAATGAAAGCATATTAGTTGGCTGTTTCTTTGTAACCATTTCAAAACATCTAAAATTCAACAATATTTATAAAAATCATTAAACAAAACATATTTTATCACAAAAAGTAATTATATGTATAAAAAGAATTCTTACATTTTAAAATTTCTTTATATATACACTTCTAATAATTTAAATTTAAAAAAAAATTCTGAACTTTCATTAAGCCTTACAAATAAAATAATTTTGCACTCCAAATGTTAATTTATTTAGTTTTTTTAAAATTACTACTATGTACTTACCCTTGACAAAGATAAGAATTTAATAATTTAAACTCAAAATTTTCTTCCACCGGATTCACAATGTTTAATTCTTCACATATTGAGTAGACTTCTTCTTTCATTTGATCTAATACTTGTCCAAGAAATTCATGTGCATCCTGTAAAAATTTAAATTATTAAATACAATGAACAAACTTAATTACAGAACTATTCTAAAGTTTCATTATTACTGCAGTAAGTCAGATGTGTTAAATTAAGAAACTGATCATGTTATGTTTCATTCTAAATTTATTTACGTGGTATGATCCAAAAGTTCGGGGACTGCAGTAATCTATGACAACAAAAGCATGTATTTGAAGTTACAATGTATGAAATGGATTCTACCAAACCACCCTACATGTTCAGGTTAATTTCGCCTATGTCACATAATTAAACCGCAAGCACTGCTGTTTTCTTCCAGAGATAGTTACCTTGTTCTGTGACATAATAAAAATGGAGTTTCAAGAACAGTGCTGCAACATTAAATTCTGTCAGCGTTTAGGTAAAACACCTACGGAGACTTTAAAATTGCTAAGAAAGGTGTATGGTGATTTTACCATGGTGAAATCAAAGGTGTACGAATGGCATCAGTGTTTTAAAGAGGGCCGAAAATTCATCGCAGACAATGAATGCTCTGGCCGACCTTCGACTTCATGGAACGAGGAAAATGTTGAGTTGGTCTCTCAATCTGTTCGCAAAGATCATTGCCAAACCCTTGAAAAATTGCTGCAGATACTTACTTATCAAAGACTAGTTGCCAGTGTATTTTAATGGAAGATCTTAGCTTGCACCAAGTGACTCAGAACATTGTCCCCTGGCTTTTGACTTCTGAACAAAAAGGAAGAATGAATGAGAATATCAGGCGACTTAATCGACAAAGCCAATAAGGATCCAGCCATCAAAACAGGTGATGAAAAGTGGTGTTATTTATTTGATATCCAATCTTTGATATGCTTCTTCAACATGGAAATCACCCTCCTCACCGCGATCAAAGAAATTCCGGCAGGATCAGAGCAAAGGGAAAGTCATGATGGAAGTAATTTTTGATTCTCAAGGAACTGTAAACAAGAAGCATTATCTTGACATTTTATGTTGTTTGAGGGAATTCATTTGTCATAAACAGCCACAGATCTGGCGAAGTGGAGACTGGTACATTCTGCATGACAATGCACCTGCACATCGGTCCCAAATGGTCACACAGTTTCCCACCAAAACTCAAATTAATGTGCCTCCACACCCCGCCTATTCACCATTCTTAGCCCCATGTGATTTTTATTTGTTTCCATCAATGAAAAAGCATTTGCAGGGATGCCGTTTTGTGTCATCAGATGAGGTGAGAGTAGCATCGGAGGAGGCCTTATGGGAGGTTTAAAAAAATGGCTTCCAGCAGTGCTTCCAGAAGTTATACGAGTGCTGGCAAAAGTCTATCGTTGCCCAAGGTGATTACTTTAAAGGTGGTTATGCATTGGCAATATAAACTTTTTAAGGTAAGGAATTTTACACCAAGTCCCCGAACTTTTGGGTCGTACTATGTATTCTTGATTATTTAAAAGCATTAAGAAGCGCAGTTTCAAACAAAATATACACTTTTGAGATAAAAAGAAAGTTGCACAGTAATGAAATAGTTTATTTAGAAAAATAGAGATAACAACATTGGATCAGAAAACTGAAAATTAAATAAGTATGTTAAAAATTAAATAAGAAAATAATGCATCTATTGATGTTAAAAAAAATTAAAAACATTATGAAGAAAACTATTAACGATACTTTTAAAATATTCATAAATCAATAGGTTAATTATTAAACTTGTTGAAATATCAAAAAGTTGAAACATATAGCCAGATGGCAAAGTCAGTAAAAGTGTTAGCTTGCTGCTCTAAGGAATCTGGAATTAAAATGTGGACAAGTAATTCTAGGAATTCTTTGTACTGGATAAATTTGATCAATGCTTCACCACTCAGCCCAATTGTGGACATTGTGAAATAACAGGCATGATCAAATAACACTCTTAATGACTCATTGGACAGAGAAAGAAAACAAAAACTTGAAACATTTTATAAACTAAACAGTGCAAATATAAAATTCTAGAAGGATATTAAAGCTGTATTTAATATTAAAATAATCTATATTATTGAAAAGTTAAACTAACTTTGAACTTTGAAATATTAAAATAACATTTTAAAAGTCAGAAAAACAACTATCAAGATAATGCATCCACTCAATTGAATTTAAAAAAAATTAACTTACATGCTGATAATTGCCTTTAAAATTAGGAGCAACAACACAGACAGCATCTTTAATATGTTCCAATAAACTTTGTGATTGACTATAATCACCTTTCATTTTCGCTAATAATAGCGATGTAATACACCTATATTAAATAATATAAAAATAAATCTATTAATTAAGTTGTTTAATCATTCTCAGAGCATTTTAACACATTCACTGCCAGTATTTAAAAGAAAAAAACAACACAATTTCTCTATAAATAGATTGAGATTGTTGTTAAACAATATGAATTTTAGGTGTCAAAAAGGAATTTTTGCAATTAAATTTTTTCTTCCCAAAAAATAGGGCTTGACAACAAGGATGCCTACAAGCACCCCAAATACAGAATACTAATACAAAACCAATGAATGAAATACATTTTTTGAAGTATAAAATATATGATAAAAACAAGCTCTCTTACAAAGGATAAAATTTTCCTGAGCAATACTATAAACAGACTTTGAGAACACACGAGCATCCTTTGGCATACTGATTGAAGCAGTGCAAAATAATTCAAAGCATCTTTGGCACTGAATGTGTTAAAGAAAAAAAAAATGTAAAATGATAAAAAGCTTTTTAAAAACTTTTAAACTATAAAAATTATAAATATATATATACTCAGATTTATATGTTACAATATGTTTTTCTTGCTGAAAATGTAGGAAAATCAAACTAAATTAAATTTTTCTTCAGTAATGTTTTTGTTCTTTTATAAGAACATCATTGGCTGTGAAAATTATCAAGTGCATTAAAACAAATATATTCATAAATGTTTCCAACATATGCTAAAGTCCAAAATTAAAACTGGAAGAGATAACTTGTAATAAAATGAACAGCATACACACTTTTCCAGCAAAAGGTTCTAACTACTACTTTTTTGTCTAGCATTATGGGCCTTGGATGTCCTTAGCCACAGTCACAATCCTTCTCTATCTTGTTCAGTCTATAGCCCACCTTTGCCAATCTTCGATTCCGAGGTCTTGAAGATCTTCAGTGATCCCATCTATCCATCTTTTTCTGGGAAGGCCTCTTGGCCTCTTCCCTTTCCCCTCATAGTGAAGCTGTTGCCATTGTAGGAAGCCTTACGACATGGCCTAGCTAGCCAGTAATCTTCTGGCCTTAATCACCTGTGTGATCATGGGCTTGCCATAAGTTGTCTGAAGTTCCTGGTTTGTTCTTCTCCTCCATATTGGTTCTTCGTTGACCATGATACCATTTTCATCATAGTCTTCTATAGGTCCGAAGATTTTCCTTAGTATTTTGTTTTCAAATCTCGGTAGTTGTAGTTCGTCCAGCTTTGTCATTGGTCATGTTTCACATCCATAAAGAACTGCAGGTCTAATCAGCAACTCATATACAGTTAGCTTTGTTCTTTTACTAAGGAGTCTGCTTTTTAGTATGTTTGTGAGCCTGAAGTAGATTTTGTTTCTCTGTAGCAAATGAGTCCCTATCTCCTTCTTAATGTCACTGTTTCTGTTTATGTCAGTCCCTAAGTACTTTCTTGAAGGATTCCATAGTGCTGAATGTTATATTGTCTACGGTTAGATGTTCATTATGAGATTATCCCCTTTTAAAAATAACCATGTGTTTATTCTTCTATTCATTATCAGATCCATACTCTTGGCAGCTGTTGCTAATTTTGATGTTAATCTCGTCATCTCCCTTTGAGATGCTCCAATTACGACAATGTCATCCGCATATGCTAGTAATGACAGTTTGTCTCTTGAGTCATTGTCTCTTTTATTGTCTATCTCCTGGACCATTCTGACAACTTTTTCTAGAGCAATGTTAAAGAAAAAATGAAACAGGGCATCTCACTGTTTCAGTCCTGTTTTGCTCTGGAAGCTGTCTGACCTTATGGCCCTGGTTTTTACTGTATACCACACCTCATTCATGCAAATTTCTGCAATTCTGGAGTTTGTCTGGTATCTCAAACTTCTTCATGGCCTTCCACACTGATTGCCTGTGAATTCTGTTGTACGCCTTTTGAAAATCAATGAACAACAGGTGTGTGTCAACATTGCATTCCCAGTTTTTCTCGAGAACTTGTCTTAATGCGAAAATTTGATCGGTTGTGGCTCTATTTTTTTTGGAAACCAGTTTGATATTCACCCATGATTCCCTCCATGTATGGGGTCAATCTCCTCATAACTAGAGATGACAGGATCTTGTATGTCACCTGAAGTAAGGAGATCCCCCTATAGTTTTTATACTCCATTTTATTTCCTTTCTTGTAAATGGAGATTATGCCTGCTTCCTTCCATTCCATTGTCATTCTTTCCTGTCTCCAAATCTGAGAATCAGATTACGGATGGTCTTTGCAAGTTGCTGCCCACCAGATTTGATGAGCTTGGATCTAATATTGTCAGTCCATGCAGCTTTGTGATTATGGAGATTTTGTATGATGACCTGAACTTCATTCTGAATAGGTTCTTTAACTTCTGGTTGGGCAGTGTGTTTTGAGAGGAATGTGGCTGGAATCATGGGGTCTGAACAGTTCAGGAGATTCTGGAATCATTCTTTACATCTTTTGGAAACTTCCTGTTTGTTGGCTAATAGTCTCCCACATGCATCCTTGATGACCAGGGATTTTGGTTGATATGTGTTATATAGAGTCTTAATGTCTCTGAAGAAATCTCTCACTTTCTGCTTCTTATGATTATTCTCTGCTTCCTCAATCAAATCTATGAGAAATTTCCTTTTCTGCTGTCTTCTTAGAATGTTTTGATGCCTCATCAAATTGGTTTTTGATTGTAGGTCTTCTGGGTTGTCCAGCCAATTCATTCTTGCTTTCTTTTTTTGATTTACCACTTCTTCACTTATGCTGTTAAACCATAGTTTCCTTGGTCTGTATTCTCTAGGTAAGGTTTTTATGGCTATTTCTAATTCTAAGATGGATGTGTGCATTGCTTTCCAGGCTTGGTCCATTTACATCTCTCATCATATTCAATTCTAAAGCCTTTCCTATTTCTTCCTAATATTGTTGCCTGGTGTTTGAGTTTATTGGTGCTTATTGGAGTTTACATATATCGTATGAAAAATGATGGTTTTGCTTGTCCTTCGTCATTACCTGGAGTTTCACTTTTATGCTGGCTCTCAACAGAAAGTGATCTGTTCCTGCTTCAGCTCCTCTGAGACTACATATGTTTTTTTATGCTATTATGATATCTTTGGTTAATGATTATATGATCCATTGGGTTCCTAGTTTTGCCATCTGGGGACACTCATGTTTGTTTGTAAATGTATTTTCTAGAGAAATTAGTACTAAGGATTATCAGATCTCTAATGCTGGCTAAGTTGATAAGTCACTCTCCATAATTATCATTCGTTGTCTCATGCAGGCTCTCCTTTCCTATGGTGGGTTGGAAGCACCACTCTTTGCCTATTTTAGCATTAAGGTCCCCAAGAAGCACCACTATGTCATGCACTGGAACCCCTGCCATTGTGTTCTCCAGTTCCTCAAAGAACTGTTTATGTTTCCTCCGTCGCTGACTTCTATGGGAGCATGGGCATTGACCAGTGTGATATTGAACCATCGGCCTCTCATTCTGAGCTTGGAAATCTTCGCAGAAATGCATTCAAATGCCAAGATCGAGTCCCATATATGCTTAGCTAAGATGAAACCAGTACCTAGTTCGTGTCTAATATTTCCTCCATATAGGATCATCATGTTCTCTGAGTGATTATGCCATCCCCACCCACAGTGTTTCTTGGATGGCTGTGATATCCATCTTATACCTCTGTAGTTCACATATTACCTCCTTATGTGCTCCTGCTCTATATAGGCTTCTTACATTCCAGGTTCCTATGTTCAGTCCATTTTTCCAGTTCCATTGTATTGACAGATTCCCTTTAAAGGCTGTCCAGTTGTTTTCTTTTAACTGTTTTGTAACCGTTCTGTCTTTTATATGGTAGGGTTGTTATCCCCACGCACAACCCCCCAAACTGGAGGACCTATGTGTTATAATATTTATCAAAAATCACTTTAGATTTATAACTTTTTTTTTGCCAAATCTTACGTTCAAATCAAGTGTGCTTAAGATTCGAACATAACTTTCTAACAGAAAGTCCTAACACACTTGATAATTTTCACTGCTGATAAAATAACCCAATTAGAAGTAATTAAAAGTGATAGTTGATCAAATGATTTCAGTATACAATTTTTATGAAAAAATAAAAAACAGATAATAAATTCTATAATATTTAATATAAATTTCCAGAAGATTCCAGAAATGAATTATTAAATTCATTTAATAATATCCAATGTTTAAAATAAATGACTGAAAACAAATTTAAATAATTACCTAAATAGACTTGTTTCTGACAATTTATCTCCTATCAAGTCATTTAACCTCAACATACTTTCAGTAAAACAGTTGAGAGAGAATAATGCTTGAAGAATTGAATTCATGTAACATGAATTACCTAAATTCTCAAATCTATATTTAAAAAAATTTCAATAGTTATATTTTGCTAATAATGTCTCAAAATAAAATTACATCATATTTTTAAAATTCTTTACTAAGAATGAGAATTATATACATATATATATAAACTAGAATTACTTACCCTTGTAATTTTGGTGATTTATCACAGATTTCTGGTGATGGTAAATCAATTTCTTCATCTTTGAATGGTGATGTTGATCGTTTTAACCGTTTTGAAGCCACCGAAAAATTTAGTAGTGGACGTTTTGGTGTGCCGACACTTGAACAATGATTACTGGAAAATAAAACATTTTAAAATATTTAAACAAAAAAATGAATAAAACAGAATTTTAAAATATAACTCCAATTTCTTAAAAGAATAATGGGAATTTGCTCACATTGAATAATAGTTTCTCTAGTACTTTCAGGTAACCAAAGCAGGTTTGTCTGCCCAAACATACTGAAGAAACTATTATTCAATAAAGGTGCAAGAAATGGGGCTAGCATTTTTGGCAATTTAACCCCTACCCATTCACCAGTGTGGTTTCACAACAGTTAAAAACCTGTTCCAAAAGCCTCATCGTCACAATATTCTGCTGCTGTTTTCAATTTTATTTTTATCGAGAACTATACATCATAGACATAAGCAGTACTTCCAATTGTTTTCTTCTGTTTTTATTTTACATAGTTATTTTTGATTTGGCTTCTATTTTTAAATAAATAGTTCATTTAAAAAATCGAAAATGATAAAATCTGACCACAAATGTTTAAATATCCTGTTTAAAAGGACAAAGAAAAATTCCACACAATTACAATATTAAAACTTTCTGTAATAAAATAAAAATTTCAATTTAATAATACTCTAAAATGAAAACATATTAACTAATATATATATAAATCAATATTATACAATTAAAATTATAATATTGTTAAAAATCTGTAATTTATATATTAATATCTACTGATTAATTAAATAAAATTATTTATTATAATGAATCTGATGTATAAGAAAGAATTTATGTAAATGTAATAATGTATGAAGTGTGGCAGCACTGTCGATAGTTTGAGAAACAAAGAAACCATTAAAAACAATAAATTAAAATTTAAATAAAAATAGTTTACAATAAATGTAATATACTAATACTTGTATATGAAAAGGACTAAATAGTATACTATCAGATAATACAGGGTGGGGCAGAAAGGACGAACATTTCTTAAAAGAAAGATCACATCATCTGTAATTGTTATTACAAAAGATATTTGTTGGAAGATGTGAGGTCATATTGAAATAGCATTACAGAATTAACTGTGGAAAACATCACACATGTGGTGTCCATTATCAGCGATGCAATGCGATGAAAAGTAAATAAAATAAATGACTATGACAAAATGAAACAAAGACTGCAATAAAATAAAAAAAAAGTAACTAAAAAGCCATAAAAATGGAAGAACAGTGATCTGAGGGCCTAAAAAATAGTTTGTCCATAGCAGGAGTCCATTACAGCAAATAACTTTTCTTATAATTGTACATAAGAAGCCCAGGATTATTTTGACTAATTTCATTATTAAAAAATTAAGACTATACAAAGTTTAAGTCCTTTTGCCTATTTATATCCTTTATTCCAGTCCAGGAACCACAAAACACCCAGCGACTTGAAGTAAACTTCTAAAAATAACAGACGAATATAATCAAAAAACTTACACACAGTTAAAAATTATCTCAATGTTGACACCTTTTTGTAGGCTACAACATCTACACATGTTAAAAACCATTAAAATTCTTCAAGACAGTATTCATGTTATATAATTGCATTTAAGCTGAGAGTCCTCTGATGGATTTTTGGGCCTAGAATTATTAATTTAAAGCCTAGAATTATTTAAATAATCGTACATAGAAGCCCAGGATTATTTTAACTAATTTCATTATTGAAAATTACTCTCAGCTTAAATGCGATTATATAACATGAATGCTGTCGTGAAGAATTTTAACGATTTTTAATGTTTGTAGACATTGTAGCCTACAAAAAGGAGTCAATGTCAAGATCATTTTTAATTGTGTGTTAAGTTTTTTGATTGTATTCATCTGTTATTTTTAGAAGTTTTACTTCAAGTCGCTGGCTGTTTTGTGGTTCCTGGAATGGAATAAAAGGATATAAATAGGCAAAAGGACTTAAACTTTGTTTGTATAGTCTTAATTTTCAATAATGAAATTAGTTCTCTTATAATTTTGGCTAATTATACTACTTTTGGCCAGACCAACATCAGTCATTCATAATGTGAGGTCAGTAATATCAAGCTCTTACTGTATCAAATTAGACAAATAAGTTTAGTTTAAATTAAATTCTAAATCATCATGTAAAGAAATATCTTTGGAATATTTAACTTGAGGTAAAAATTTACCTAGAAATGGATTTTAAAGGCGATCTACTTATTTCAACACCAGTATTTTCTTTTTGATGATTACTTGCATCGTTTTGTGTCATCAGATGAGGTGAGAGTAGCATCGGAGGAGGCCTTATGGGAGGTTTAAAAAAATGGCTTCCAGCAGTGCTTCCAGAAGTTATACGAGTGCTGGCAAAAGTCTATCGTTGCCCAAGGTGATTACTTTAAAGGTGGTTATGCATTGGCAANTATTTAACTTGAGGTAAAAATTTACCTAGAAATGGATTTTAAAGGCGATCTACTTATTTCAACACCAGTATTTTCTTTTTGATGATTACTTGCATATGAATCTTCTCTTGATAATCTCTAAAAAAATTTTTAAATCATGTTTAATTCAGATTACTACTTTTAAAATGCAAAGATCAAATTAACATGACCTTACAGTTATGCTAACTTGTTGCTGATCTGATTTAATTCTTTGCTCATTCCTGTAATCACCTCCTTTATTAATACTGTAAGAAACAGAGTTGGTCTGAGCTTGCTTGTCTCCATTTTGCAAATGCTTTGATAGTTGTTTCTGACGATATGTTGAATTATACCTCAAATCATTTTCTGCATGACATCTAATAGACAATTTTAAAATAAAGTTATTAATTTTTCATCTATATAAACAAATTACAATCTCATAATGATTATTATTCTGTATTTAAAGAAAAGCATCTTTCATCTGAAATTAGCACAAAAAAGTTTAATATGATAACTAGATGTAAAAAAATTTACTATATAAAATTTTTGATTTGAAACCAATAAATTTCTCTCTTATAGACATTAAAATCATATTTAAAAATTAATAAATATGATTTAATGGCTATATTGACTAAATTGATACATAATGGCTAAAATGTGATTTTATTATTTGTTTTAATATTAATTATGGTGTTTGTAAAACATTAAGGCATAATTGACAGATTTATTATTTTGATATTTTTGATTATCTAATGATAATGCCAGTAAACCAAATCACAAAGTAGTGTTTCCACAGTAACTTTGCTGTTTGCTTGTCTAAGAGTTTATTGTAGACAAGAAAACAATCTGTATTGTGTTTGTATATCAGAATTTCTTTTCACTATTTCTGTCAATATCTCAAAAGCAAAAGAGAACTGACACAGTGTATATGAATTTTTCGCTCAAAATGACTTCTAAAATACATGATAAAAGTTTATAAATTTCTTCATGTGATGTCGTAAGGGGTGTGAACATATAAAGATTTCTTGCCTTAATATAATCATTTTTAAATCATATTTGAATCAAAGCTTAAAACTTTATCATGTGAATTGTAACAGATTATAAGATTAATTCCAAATTTAAATGCTACAATACTTTTCTTGCCAAACTGCAACAAAATAAAATAACACAGATACAGTCAAAAATGAAGAAAAATGCCACATGATTACATTACCACAATAAAAAATGTCAAAGTACAAAAATTATTCATATATAAGAAATTAAACTACATGTATATAATTCTGTATAAGAGTAAATTATTAATTAAAACATTATACAATTATAAAATTTTTCATGTATAAACAAAATATTTCACTTGCCTATTTCTAAAATGACTTGACCAATTACTTCGACTATAAGTTTTAAGTGGAGCTGATCTCTCAAAATTTCTATTCTGATGGTGAAGCATTTCATTCCATCTAGATGCACTACTTCTTGAAGAATGCTGACTGTAGAAAGATTTTTGTTGGGTATCATTCCATCTAGTGTCATTACTGTTGTTATTGTTGTGAGATTTAGTTTCCTGATCACTTCTTTTATCACTTGGTGAAGAATCTGTAATATTAAACAACATTAAGTATATAAATATTTACATAAATTTATATTAAATATAAATATTTTTCTTTATAAAAAATCAGTTAATTAGTAGCCAGATTGATAATATTTAGTGATGGGACAACACCAAAATTTCTCCCAATTCTACTGAAAACTACAGATTCCAATTCTTTGAATATTTTCTAAAATTTATTTTAGTTTAGAAAAATTAATGATTTACACTACAAGCATAGTACATTCATTAATTAACAAACATCAAGCTTAAGAATGGAAAATAATTGAGAAATTCACATTCTTTCAAAAGAAACCTGAAAATTCTCCAATTACAGTGAATTCTCAATCTATTGTTTTTGCAGGACTTGGGGGAAAACGACTGACATGGGAAATTTATGTTGTTGATGTTTTTATTGTTTATCTCATATAAAATGTGTTCTTTTCATTGATAGGCTTATATGATGACTTTCTGTAATACTAAATGATATGGAGCTTGTGCATGGATGTTTGTTTATTCTACATTTTAAAAAATTGTTAAGAATACTGAAATTTGTTCTATTTTGTGTGTTCTTTGTTTTATTTTCTTTTTAGACCCCTTCTAGCAATGAAATTTTTATGGCTCTCCCTTAGAATATATGATACAACCCATCCTCTGAATGGACAAGCTAAAATTTACATTTTTTTCATACAATTTCAACATACCAAACATTAATAAACTATTATCAACAAATATGTAACAAATTCCTTTATATACTATACTTATTTCATATACATAAAACTTACTTTTTTTCAAATGTTTGCAACCATCTACAAGTTTTAGTCCACTCCTAAAGTAGTTGCAACTCCCTATGCCAAAAAAGTTTTAGTTATAGACAGTGCACTAGATGAAACTACTCTATAGGCACTACATTAATACATTTTATTACATTTTGTACAAGTAGAAGCATAATGGTATTTCAACAGAACATTTATTTGCACAAATTTTCTTTTCACATCAATTTGAGCATTTTATCAGTAGGTCTAAAAAAATATAGCAGTTAGTGATCTCGAAAAGTATGACAAAGAAATGCCTTATAATTGAGAATATATGGTAGTAGCCAATCTAAAAATAAATGTACAAATACAATAATTATTATACAGATGGCAATCTGAGACAATGTGCTAATTTTTACCAGTGCTGCCAGGTTTTAAGAAGAAATGTTGCCAATAAAGTACAGTATTTTGTAAAGCAGTAGACAAAAAGTAGCCAAAAATCACAATAAAAACTGGTTAGCTGTAGTCAAAGGGTTCAACTGTTAAATTTGGCATGCTTTTATTTTTATTACACAAAAATCAGGGATTCAATTTAGCACCATCTATTATGAGTAAAACAATTGATGTGGGATAACATTTTTCTTTCAGTTAAAATACAGAATGAACATTGCAAGCAGGGCTTTGGAGCGGAGCTGGAGCATGGAGCAAATGGAGCAACGGATTTTTACTCGGAGCAGGAGCACGGAAATTTGTAGTCCTCCACTGCTCCAATATATATATTTATTTAATATTTGAGACGGTGAAAATGGAAGTAGCATAAATTGTAATATTACAAATGTTAAGAATACAATAATTGAACTAAAAAGAAAAGTAACCACAAGCACAGATGAATTTTACATCCGTTCCACATATGTCCCATGTGAAAGGTGGTAATCTTTCTCTCCAGTCTCCACTATCCCCTGACCGAGCTATTCCTTCCCCTTCATGATCCCCAGTTCTCTAAATTCTTGACGATCGCAGATGTGGAGTTAATGGGGAGGAGTGGCTAATGAATAGCAGATTTTAATCTCTGCTTACAAGTGGCTTTAGTCATCAACACAGAAATTAACCACTAGGAGCAACACTAATATTCATTTCTTACATTTGATTTTGAGTGTGACAGTCGTTCATTTCTGTTCGCAATCAGTCTGTTGTAATCGTGTATCATAATTTGTAATTTGTTTGCAGAGATAAGATTTTTATTATTATTTGGTTATTTTGTAAGCACGAATGTTGATATGCGTAACTTCTCAATTAATAACACTTAAATATTTGATTATTTAAGCCATGGCATGAAACCAAAATGTAAAACCATCACTTATAATATACAGTCGATTTATGGAAGAAGAGCTTAAAGAGATGTTCGTATTTAAATATGATAATGGAAAAAAAATATCAGTTACATGCAAGATGGAACACATTGTAAATGGCGAATGTACACAATGCAACTTCAAGGCAAGTGGAACTAGTGCAGGGGTGAGCAACCTTTTTAATCAACGGGCCAATTTAAATTTTAAAATTTTTTGGCGGGCCGCACATAAAGTAACACTTATTATTTAATTTTCAAAACTTTATTTATAATAAACATTAGAATAAAAAAATATAAAATTTTAGAAAAAGTAAAGATTTCATATACAAATTTTAATGCAAAATAAAAACAAGAAAAGAACAGAAAAACGAATTTACTTGAAATTTTTAATGAGAAATTTGGCACTGTTTTTTCGATACAAGCTGATCAATATCAGCCGGAATTGATGAGGTAGCTACACGTACACAGCTTTCTAATCGTGCATCACTCAGTCTTGATCGGTGGTCATTTTTGATTAATTTCATGGTTGAAAATAATTGTTCGCAAACATACGTACTTCCGAACAGAGACGTCATTTGCTTTGCATTTTTCGTCAAGAGCGGAAATTTCTCAGGGCTCACATAAGATTTATAAAAATTTTCAATGTTTACTGAGAAAAACACATTTTTTAAATCGGTATTATTCTGCATGTCAATCACTTCCATTTGAAAGTCTTCGGGAACTGTATCCACATCGATACTAAATGGCGAGGAAAACATTTTCATGGAAACCGCTGTCTTCTCAGCTTTGAACATTTGGAATCGTAATTGAAATTCGTTAATTAAAATGTCTATATATTGTGAGTATTTTTAAGAAGTAGTAACGTTTTCTTTTTCTAAATGTAGAAAGTGACACACATTATTCTGCAAAAGATGCTGTTTCCACAATTTTAATTTGCACTCAAAGCCCTGAATTTTATCATACAAATTGTGAATAAACTGTCCTTTGCCTTGAAGTTCCACATTAAGATCATTGAGATGCTGAGTCATGTCGATAAGAAACCCAAAATCGCACATCCATTCTTTATTACCAAAATGAGGAAAGGCATATCTCTTCATATCCAAGAACAATTGTATTTCGTTTTTTAAGTTGTATACTCTTTTTAGCATTGCACCTCTACTAAGCCAACGTACTTCGGTATTAAAAACCACGTCGCCATATTCAGTTTCTAAATCTTTCAGGAAATCTTTAAATTCACAGTGATTTAACGCGCGCGACTTTATAAAATTGATTAGTTTAATTATTGGTACTGTGACATTTGGCAAACTCAATCTTTTTGCACACAAATTTTCCTGGTGAATTATGCAGTAATTAACGAATATTTCCCTTCCTGTGACCTTCTTAATGTCTTGAAATAGCTTTCCCGATACTCCTACCTCCATGCTTGACATTGCTCATGCTCCATCTGTCAATATACCAATAATCTTTTCTAATGAAATTGAAAAATTTTCCAACACAGACTTTAGTTCATCGTACAGGTCTTTGCCGGTTGTAGTCCCTTGCATTGGAATCAGTGAACACAATTCTTCGGTAATATTAAATTTGGTGTCAATACCACGTAAAAATGTAGCCAGTTGTGCTGTATCGCTAATATCGCAACTCTCATCAAGTGCCAAAGAACAGTATTCGAATTTTGCAATGCGTTCACGAAGCGTTGTTGCTATGTTCTCAGACAAGTCTTCAATTCTCCTTGCAATGGTGAATCTTGATAAACTAATGTTTGAAATAATATTTATTTTATTAGGAAATGCTATTTCTGCGACAGCAGTCAGACATTCTTTTATCATCTCTCCATCTGCAAAGGGTTTCATTTTTTTGCCCAGTATTTGACTGACAACAAAACTAGCCTTTACTGCCGTATTTGATAAAATAGCTTGATTTTTAAAAATAGCCTGTTGTTTTTCCAAGTTTTTCTCCATTTGATTAAACTTATCTATCCAGAGTTGTCCTGTTAAGTTTTTATATTGTTGTTCATGTTTTGTATCGTAATGCCTTTTTATGTTATATTCTTTTAATGTCAACACAGTCTCTGAGCATATTAAGCATACAGCTTTATCTTCAACGAAAGTGAAAAAGTAATCAAATTTCCACTTTTCTTGGAAATGCCTGTGCTCATCCGCAACCTTCCGTTTTTTTTGTTTGCTTTTCCGACATGCTATTATGGATTAAAAATTTGAAAGTTAAAAAAATTTGTAGGAAAACTTAATTTTGAATAAAAAAAAAACTCTAATATTACCTTTTTGACAATATTATTTCACTCACGCCTTTCAAGAAACACAAGAATTGCTAAAATTGCTAGTTAACAGCTTACCAGTCTGATTGTATGACAGAAGCAAACACAAACAAGCACAGACGCGGCGCGTTCGTATTGCATGTTTGAAGAACTCGTCACAAAAAATTGTTTCGGTTTAGTATGTACTACCATTTTATTATAAATAATTTTATAACAATATATTGATGGGAGAAAGTCGATAAAATAAATTCAATTTTAAAAATGCTTGGCGGGCCGCATAAACATGTTTAACGGGTCGCAAGCAGCCCACGGGCCGCGTGTTGCTCATCCCTGAACTAGTGTGTCGAAAAACTTCAATCTTTGACAGCATGTGAAGCATAATCATCCTGAAATTTACAAAGGGTTAGTTAAAAAGAAGGATCAACACAACGAAGTAGCTGCAAGAAGAAAACATAATCATGACAATTTTACCATTGCACTTTCATGTCATAAGAAATGCAGAACTGATAAACCAAAAATTGATACATATTTTACATCATCAGAGATTACAATCACTATGGATATCAAAATTATTTATAATAAAATGGTAGTACATACTTTCCACAAGGGACTTGTTTAGATGGTTTTTATGAG